GGAGGGAGGGAGGAAAGGAAAGGAGGGAGGGAGGGAGGGAAGGAGAGAGGGAGGAAGGAAGAAAGGAAGGAAGGAAAGAAGAAGGAAAGAAGGAAAGAAGGAAGTTATAATAGCATTTCATTTTGTCAGCAGCTAACTATGAAGAATTCACTGTGTGGGGCACTCACCCTGTCAGGTTGTGGAGAGATAGCTAGCTCCCACTTCTCTGAGCTGCAGTTGGAGACTAGAGACAGATAATTAGGTAGCTGGGGTATTGCACAGAGAAGGAGCCTGGAGAAGGCGGAGGAGGCTGCAAGGCCAGGAGCTCCACACTGGGAAAAGACATCCAGAAAAACTGTTAGATCTAACACATGATCTAAAAGTGGTCGAGGAATTAGCTGAGGTCATGGTCAGCTCTGCCTGAGCCAGAAGGAGAGGAAGAATATACCAATCATGTCAGCAGCAGAGGCACAAAGAGGAGGTGACAGTGCACGCATGTGGGGCTGACAGTATGAAGCCAAGGATGAAGACAAGACTGAGGAAGAAATCCAAGCCCCAAACATCCTACCACATGAAGACGTGAATCTATGTCAGCAAGACACCAGCCTCATTTATGCAAATAAGCTAGAAACTTCTCTCCTGCGTTATGGGCAACAGAATTGGAGAAGACTCATTTTGGAGGCAGGGAGGATGTTTTAAGGGAAACTGCAGTATTTTGGTGAAAATTACATTCATAAACATGAAGATCTGGGGGTGATCACGACCTCCTTTTAATTTTCCAGAAGGGTTTTATAAGACATGTTGTAGGCGCTCTGACAGATGAAACAGAGCAGCTGAAATGCCGAATTCAAGGCCTGGTGCCTAATTACTGGCTTCTGTGTTGAAACTGAAAATGCCTCATCAAGAAAGAAAATAAAACTAAGGAACTTCAGTGTGTCAACTGTCAAAATCCAAATGGAAGATCCAAACAATCCATGCCCCTCCCCCAGCAGCCCCAGCTTCCCAAGTGCCTCCAACCTTGAAATCCAGGTACAGCCGGAATCAGGCTCAGTCAATGAGAAAGAGGGGGGCACTGAGCTGTGCTCACTAGCACTAAATAAACACATCCGATGAATGCATGAGTACGTATTTCTTTAAATGCCATTATCGGGTAGCATTAGGGAATGAGGAGGGTCTTGACTTCCTGAACCTTCCGAAGAGCCTAGGGAGTTGAGAAGGGAGAGCTGATGGAAAATAGGCTGGGAAGCAAATTGGTGTTTTCAGGAGCGCCCAGCTCTTAGTTTAGGACTCTTGTGTTTGATGACTCCGTTCAGTCTTTATCAAGGGCCCACCTTCCGTTCTACTCCCACTAACAGGGCAGCAGCTAGGCCGATAAGCCTGGGGCAGGTAAAAGTGAGGCTTCCTTCTGATGCACTGGCCACTCTAGGCCATTGCTGGTCCTGGTCCTAGACGCAGTGTTGTCATTTCATATAGAAATCTATGACTTCTGAATTCCTCCATCCTCTCTGTTCCAGCATTACTGGACGCTGTGACTGCTGACTTGATGCTTTCATTCCTTTCTGGCTCTGCAGAGTCTCTGTCTGGCCTCTGCTCCACAATCACTTTGTCCTTGTGAGAGAACTGTGGCTCCCATTACCTCCTATGACCTCATAACCCACCAGCAGGTAGAAGGTAGGTTTCTTTGAGATGCATCAGACCAAAGCTGCACAGGACACTGGCCACTGTATCCTTGGACTGCCCACCCCCCCTCATTGGTCTAGATATCTATGAGGACCTTGCCTTCTTTAAAATTCAGTCCTCCAGTGTAGAAATGCGACATCTTCCATGTCTCCTCAGTCAAGTCAGCCCCTGTTCCTGTCCTGTCAATTTCTGCCAGTTCTTCTGGGTCTGAGACTGAACTCGTGTCACGCATTCCTAGAACTTAACTGTGATCAAGCCCGGCTCTCGAGGTTTAAATGTGTAACATTTAGGAGACCATTTCTTTTTCTCCAGGAAGCCTTGCTCTCTGGACATATATTGCTATGGTTCACTCAAAAACCAACTCAGGAAGTCAGAAGATGAACACTGATTTTAAGCAATTCTAGGATGACAACCTTAATTTTCCTTGGAGAAACTCCTTTCTTTCATAGGGCATAGAAAAGGGTCCAGTGGACCCCCACCCAAAAAAAGGCACCACAAAGATTGTTGTATTTCATATACCACCCAGTGCCTGGGAAATTTCTATTGCAGCTATCAGGAGGGTGAAATGCTCCCTTCATCTGTGATGTCTAACAGCTTTCCTCCACTGGGTGCCATGGGATACGAAGCTGTGAAAACCCATGATGTCACCACATGTTCCTGTTTTATGCTCCCATTAAACAAATTACACTACATTGGACACAGATTTTCACAGTTTAAGCTGAAGCTGATGAAATAGTCAAAGAAATGCATTGTGTCATCTGTTAGTAAATGGACTTGCTTGCTCTGTCACGCCCCCCTCTTCTTCTGGCTCTTCTTGCCACTAGTCTGTTTTGAGTAAATAGTAGGTCACTAAGTACATTCAACACACTCACATATTTAGTCCCATTTTTAGTGAATTTCCCTTGTTTAGCTTCTCATTCCTGAGTAGCAAAGAAAACTGTTTAAAGTATGTTGGAAATTGAGGGGTTTTGCTATGAAGGTAAAATCCTCTCCCCGTCTGGTGCTCTGGAATGACCAGGTGATGGATGGAAAGATGGAAAAAATTAGGCAAGAGCCACCACATCTCACGTATCTATTTTCAACCTAAAGTTAAAAATCCTATCCCTGGTTTTACTACAGGTAGATTTCAGAAGAAATGTTTTGTGATTCACACAAGAAAGTCAAGTCAGCTTACCACCTTAGGGCAGGGTGATTGTGAATCAAATGGGCTGGTAATTTGAAATGAAATTTTAGATTCGTAAAAAATAACATAAAGAATTTAAATGATTCCTGGTGTCATATCATGTAATGATAATGTATCTCTATCAATGAACTAAAACACACAAAAGTTACTGTAATCACATACAAGGCATGTAGGATATTTGACACACTGTTCTTTACTTCCTAATTTTAATTACAGCCAGAATTTTAGCTTTCATAATACAATATGTGGCATAGGTGGGATGTTAATATGGTTTGGTGGTATGTTTTCTTGATGATCTATAAATTTTAATGAAACACGGAATGACTCTCAGACAAACTGAACTTAACTAGTTGTTTTAAACATAAGGCAAGACAAAATTAGCTCATATCTAGTATGATATTTGTTTTTATAACAGTGATCAAAATGTGATGTTTATCCTACAAATCTTGATTTTCATATGAAGCAGGGTATTTCACATTAAAGAGATGTAACCTAATTGTTAATAGCCTAGTACTTAAGACTATTATTCTGCATTGGTTTCATTATACGAATTTATTTTAGAATAGAACTGGCTTCATTACACAAATTCATTTTAGTATAGTACTATAAGTATGTTTGTTAATTAATAAAATAAATGTCTAGAGTGCATAAAGAGCCATGCTGAGTATTTGCAGACAAAATGATGAAAGCGTAGATTTCTTGCTGGAATATCTATTTGATAAGATGGAGCTATTACTAACTATAGTAAACATGTGTGTTTTATTTTAATCAAGTAGCACGTTGGAGAATGTAGAATTTTCTATTGGATCATTTGGTTGTGATATGTTCCAATAATATAAAGCATTTATTTCATTTATTCCTAGCTTACTAGTGTGTCTTCATATTAAACATGTCCCACGTTAAGATTTAAAATTTTAATTGAAAAACATTTATCTCTGAAATGATTTGCTGTGTATTTTGTAAATACTTGATTTTAATTGTTGGTAGAGTGTCTTCTAAGTTAACTATTTAATAAAGAAGAAAATGTGGTGCAGGGTGTGGTGGCACATGCTTATAATCCAAGCACCTGGGAGGCAGAGGCAGAGCAAGTTTGAGGTCAGCTTGGGCTACAGAGTGAGTTCTAGCCTAGCCAGGGATTTAGAGTGAAACCATGTCTCAAATTTTAAAAGAAAAGGAAAAGGAAATGTAGTAAACACCCTTGAATGCTCATGCAAAGCTGCAGGCCTGTAGTCGGAATATGCCTGCATGCGCCGTTCTTATACTAAGCTGGAGTGTACACAGCACACAGCTCTCTATGCACTGCTGATGTGCAAATACAAATTTAGCACTTTTTAAAAACAGAACTTCATTTACATGGCAGGATTTTGTGTGTACCCGATCAGTTGTGGTCACATCCCATCTTATAATCTAATCCAAACAGAGTCACTTTGTAAAGTATAGAAATTGGTCATCCATTGTTTGGAATTCATAATGTTTGAATAACACGAACACGATGGGAAAGCAAACCACCCTTCACGCCCGGTTTGTATCATTTGCCCACAGCTGCACTGTAATAGAAAGGAAGTGTGTGGCCCAAACTGAAACACACACCGTGGAGCCAGGCTTACCTCAAAGTAGTTTCCATTCTGAGCCTTGGCTCCTGTGCCCAAGCCTACTTTGTTACTTCTTTTCTCTGTGTTAGCTTTCTTATCTTTAAAATGGATGTAATAGCAGATCCTTTGTGACAGTACTGCTAAAATCAATTTAGTACAAGCACCGAGGACTCAGTACAAGCACCGAGCACTCAGTACAAGCACCGAGCACCCAGTACAAGCACCGAGCACTCAGTACAAGCAGCTAGCACTGTGCCCAACACGGCAGGAACTATTTTGATGTTTTGTTCAACCAAGGGGCTGTTCCTTAGTAAACAAGTGATGGAGGATATAGAGGATGTTACAAAAATATTTAGGAAAAACAAATTTTTATATCATATGTCATGAAAAATATAACAGCATCAAATCAAAGATTTTAG